GGGTGTGTGAGGCCGCTCCCCGCTCCCTGAGGGTGTGTGAGGCCGCTCCCCGCTCCCTGAGGGTGTGTGAGGGCCGGGGCCGCTCCCGCCGCCGCGCGCGCTGCGGCGCGTGCCCGCCGGCCGTGCCCGGTTACCGTTGCCGGGGCCCGGCGGTGGCGATGGTGAAGGAGAGGATCCGGGTGTACGCGCGGGTGAAGCCGCTGGGCAGGCGGCAGCAGGCGGGGGTAGGTGGGCAGCTGTGACCCGGGGGTGAACTGGGGGTGCCAGGGAGAGCCGAGGGCTGCCCGCGTACCCCGCTCCGGTGCGAGGTTCGGGGCGCGGGGCAGGCGCCATCTTCCCCTCGAGAGGCTCGGGCGCTGGGTGGAGGGGCTGGGACGCGGGCGGGTGTGGCGAAAAGTTCCTGCTCCCCAGAGCCTTAGGATTTTCATAGAACCTCGAAGTAGAGGACTTTAGGCTGTAACTGTTGGGGGAGTGGGTGAGGAACTTAGTTGCAGCCTAGTTACTAGAGAAAGGCTCTGCAGGAAAACACTTGACACGGGTCACTGAGTTTGTGCTGTTCAATAGTGTTCTGAGCAACAAGGGAACGTGTTGCTCCCAGTGTACGGCTGCCCTTGCAAGGGATAATAAAGACAAAATGAAAGTGTTCCTCAGGAACCCTGGATTTCGGTCTGTTAATTGCCTTCTTGTTTTAAACGAGCTCTTGTCATCATAGTATTTTTCTTGTCTTGGCCTTTCCTAATGTATTCTCGCAAGTTTTTTTGTGCGGTCTGCACTGGAGGCCATGGCTTTGTTTTTTGTRACATCACAGATATTAAAGTGGTTTGGTAAGAAAATTATGTCAAAAAGGCTGTGCTTTTGTTTTCARTATTACTGTAGTTTTTACATAGTGACAGGATAATGCCAGTATGTGCTGTTTTGTTGCACAGTAGTTAAGGAAGATCTTATCACATATTTAGTGCAATTTGTAAAATGTTTATCTCCAGACAATTACAGCTTAAGCTTAGGTAAGTGTTATATGTAAGGGTAATGCTGTTCTATCGATGAAATTACTCTGTGAATTTGTATCCATGCTTCTTAGAGTTATTCACTGGATGATGAGGAATCTCTGCCCAGTCTGGAGATTACGGTTCCACGTGACTTAGCAGATGGGTTCATCAATAATAAACGAGAGATCTACAGGTTCAAGTGAGTAAGGGCCTTATCTTTCCATGTTCTTCTTTTAGTGATTGACAACCCTATGTGTCGTGATACAGATGTATAGAATCAGGAAAAGTCTAATCTTTGAACTATGGTGTAGGTACGTTTATCTTTATACAACTCGCTTAAAAAGAGGATACTTAAGCATATGCTCTTCACTGTGWTGTGTCTGCTACCATCTAAGTCTCATCTCAAAGATTCATTTATCAGTTCTTCTGTTTTAGCAATTTATTTTAAATTTGGGTATGAAGACTGAAGCAGGACTGTGTGTTCTCTTGTGATCTAATGAGTTGTCACTGGCTGGCTAAAGGAGTCTTGATGTAAAGCGTTCTGTTTAGAAACTGTGTTTCAGACATAGCCAAAACAAGGTAAAGAAAACCAGAAGCTGCTGAAAGAAACAAATCCTTGGTTGTAGAATGTAAATATTTTTTAGAAATTTAAAATCCGTTATCAATCAAGCATTTTTATTACTTCAACAGAAAACTGAGGCAAAACTTTAAAATTTTGATGATGAATAAATCTAGATCTATAATCATCTTTAATGACGAGGTTGAGACTGTCCTTTTCCAATTTGTTTTTTTTTTTTTTAACTAATAAACAAGTAAATTTGTTTCTTTATGGTATTAAAAAGAGAGCTCCACATGAACAACTGCAGCTCAAACTGATGTCATTTTACATCACTTAAGGAGATGATGTTGCCCTCTCTGAACAGATTAATATGCAACACTATCTTAGGTTGCAGATGCCCAAGCTTGACTTAACAAATGCCAATACTTTTGTCTGACTTTATAATTTATTTAAAACTCTGTAGAGATGGATTTTGAGAATCCCTATGCCTTATCCTTTAGACAATGCAAGAACAATTGTTTGAATTACTTGACTGATTAAGCTTCAGCAGGATAGAATGTATGTACTTATGTTTTGTGTACTGCATTTGTCTGTGATTCTGTACCCACTGCATGGGACAGCACAGTGCCTTTCTACACAGTGTCCCTAAGGCCTTTCTGCACACCCTGGGAAGTTCTGTGGCAGCATAAAGTTTCAAACAGGGGGGACAGCACAACAGAGCACCAGCAGTRCAGGTAGCTGCTAGAATGTGTGGATGACAACTTCCTAATGTACAGTTAAAAAACCAATCAGGATATTTGCAAACATGGATGAACTGTTGAGGGATATTAAGCCCGGAGGTAGCTTTAACTGYAGTGGCCATGAGATAGTGAAATTCAGGATATTGAGAGAAGGGAGTAAGGCAAAAAATAGGATTGCAACCGTGGAATCCATGACTGCAGATTTTAGCTTGTTCATGGATCTGTTTGAAAAAATTCTCTGAAACAGTGTCCTGGAGAGATGTCCAGGAAAACTGGCTGATTTTCAAGGGTCATCTTCTCCAAGCTTGAGAACAGTTCATCCACATGAACAGAAAATCATGCAAAGGCAGCAGGAGGCACATTCCTGACTGAATGAGGAAGCATCTCCCAACTAAATGGCTATATTAAAAGAGGGGTAGAATGCATGRGAGGACTGTCAGGTGACCCAGGAATGCTGTGTGAGGAATGGAATCAGGAAAGCCTAGATAAGGACATGGTGAGCGGTGTTGAAAACAAACTGAGCTGCTGGTCTCAGAGGGTTGCATCAGGGGCTCAGAGGGCTGTCAGCCAGGCCAGCTGGAGGCTAGTTGCTGGTGTAGGCAGTACAAGAGTCCAGTGTTGTTCAGTGTTAGTGACCTGAGTGATGGGACCCAGTGTAGYTTCAGCAAGTTCACAGACAGTATAGAACTGGGAGGGATGGCTGATGCACCAGCCTTTCCTCCTGACCTCAGGACACTGAAGAAAGGAGTCAATAGGAACCTCAAGAAGTTTCAACTAAATGAAATGCCATGTCCTGCTCCTAATGTGGAATAACCAGGGCTGGCTCAAGGATGACTGAAAGCAGTTTTGCAAACCTTGAATACTGGTAAACAAGTTGAACATGGCAATACACCATTTGCAGCAAAGGTCAACAGCCCCTGGATTAAAAAGAGGCTTGCCAGCAGATCATGGAAGTTGATCCTTCCCCTCATCAAAGCCAGGGAGATCACATCTGGAATTCTGTGTCCAGTTGYGGGCTCCAGCAAAGGGACATAAAGATGATTAAGGGACTGGAGAATATGACATGTGAGGAGAGGCTGAGGAACCTGGGACTGTTGAGCTCAGAGAAGGCTCAAGGCCTCATCAACTTCTATAACACCTGATGGGGAAAGGGGAAATGAAGATGGAACCAGATGCTTCTCGRTGGTGCCCAAGTGCCGGACAAGAGTTACTGGGCACAGATTGAAATACAGGAATTATCACAGAATCATAAAATGACTTGGGTTGGAAGGAACCTTAAAGATCATTTAGTTCCAACACTCTCTGCCATTAGGCTAGGTTGCTCAGAGTTCCATCCAGCCTGGCCTTAAGCACATCCAGGAGTGGAGCATTGGCAACATCTCTGAGCAATCTATTTCACTGTCTTTCAGTATTTCAATACTCTCACAGTAAATAATTTCTTCCTAATATCTACTTTAAAACTACTCTCAGTTTAAAGCCATTACCCCTGTAGTGTCGCTACATGTCCTAGGGAAAAATTCCGCTCCATCTTTCTTTTAGGCTCCATTCAGGTACTGGGAGGCTGCAATTAGGTCACCCCAAGGCCTTCTTKTTTCCAGGTTGAACAATCCCAATTCTCTTAGCTTTTCTTCAAAGGAAAGGTGCTCCATCCCTCTTAATGATCTTGGTAGCCTGTTCCAGACTTGCTCCAATAGGTCAAYGKCCTTCTTTCCTGTGCTGGCGATCCCACTGTGAAGTGAYCAAATACTGGAACAGGTTGCCCAGAGAGGTTGTGGAGCCTTTATATGTGGAAATATTCAAAACCTGACAGGACAGAACCCTGTTCTGGGTGACTTTGCTTTGAGCAGGGGAATTAGAGAAAATGGTCCCTTCCAACCTCAAGATTTCTGATTCTGTAAAACAACTTCAAATATTTTCTATAGAAAGTGACAAAATATATTGAAATATTTCCTTATGACTTATAGTAATTTTGCAGCAGAGTGAAGGAAATAGCTTCAAAAAATGTGAGCCTGGCTGTACTGGTGGAATGCTGTATTTGGTTATAGTGTAATCTATTTATCCAGAATTCAGTGTGGTGCCAGTTACAAACACTAATTCTCTTGATAGATTTAAAATACGGTTTATTTTTTTCTAAGCCACATCATTTTATCAGAGGATTTTATTGTACAGATCTTGTCAAAGCAGCTCTGTGTACAGCGTATTTATGTACAACAGCACAACAGCAAGCTGTGGTTAAGACTACAGGGAAAACATTGTACTAAGTTATGTAAGCCTAATGATGTAAACATTGACTATTCCAAACACAAACAAAAATGTATGAATCAAGTAGTGTTTTAACATTCTAAGCAATTATTATTTTCTTAATATTTTCAGGTTTCAGAAAATTTTTGATCAAGAGACAAAACAAGATGTGGTTTTTGACAGCATTGCCAAACCAGTAGCAGAATGGTACGTTGTTGATCTTGCAAGTTACCAGGGAGAAGCTATTTCTGCCTTTGTTGTACTACTCAGAGGAGAGCTGGCAAGTCTTTGTCTCGTTGTTGTAAAAGTGGATTGATGTTCTAATTTTCTAAATATTGACATGTCTGAATCCAGGAGATATACAATCCCCTGAGAATTTTATGCATACTAATTTTCTATTTATGACTCTTAAAATAGCGATGCTACTGTTGCCTCTTTTTTCTCTAGCCATAGAAAATCATGCCCAATTCTACTTTTGTCTGTAATATAAGCTGACTTCATTGCCTTAGAAAAATATTCCCTGTGTAGTTTCATGAAGAGGTAAACCTAATGAAAATCTTATCTCCCCRTATAGTTTTAATTAAGTTAGGGACTTTCATCAATATCTGTGGAGATATTCTTAAATCTTGTCCTTATTACTTTTGTCCTAACATGTAAGGCAGTGCTTTTGGCACTGTTGGTTTGTTTTTTTTCTCCTCCATTTTCATAATCAAACAATGTTCATATTTGACGGTTCACAAAGGCAAATATTTAAGACTGATGAAGTCTTCTGCATTCATTGTGTGGAATGAATGCCACTTTGAAACATATGGATTTTCTGATATGGCATTCTCTTTGCTCAGTTTACTGTCCACATTGCTGAAGTTTATATTGGTTTTGGTGAGGGAGAAAATCCCATGCTGGAGGAAGCAGAATTTCTGCAAAGAGTTTCCTTGTTTATCAAACTTACTGGTCAAAATCCAGACTTGTAGGGAGTTGGGAAGTASTCCTTCAGGTGCCAACTTCTTTCTTATTTCATTGTCTGACCCATCTGTTGTTTTAAGCTATGATTCTGCAAGTTATTCCTCAATCTATTGTACAGTCCTGTGTTTAGAACTGTTGRAAAACAAACATCTTCAGCTGGACACTAAGCCTTTCCCAAGTTGTCCCATGGAAGAAAAATATATCTATCTCTTTATAATTTCATTTTCTTTCTCCCCACCCCTCCTATTTTCTTCTCTAAAGTCCCACATAAAGAGAAAGGTAATTAACAGTGAAAATGAAGAGCCAGTAAATCTGAAACTTCATTAGAATAACCTAAATAGATTTTAAAAYAATGCTTATGTAGTTTTCTCATTCAAAAGATATTTCTTTGCTTATCTGGCATCACATATAGCTTCAGATTAAATCCAGAAATTAAATATTTCTGGATTTAATGTTGACTGCAGAAAAAAGTCTTTATCTTATTTGAGTGTGTTTGGAATGAGAAGAGCTAAATGTCTCATTGTTACATACTATGGATTTAATGATGCTTAATAAAAGCTCAGCGTATCAAAATTAACTAGCAGGAGACTGGCTAATGTTTTTCCCTTTAGAGTGTTTTGCTGTAATATGGAAAGGTTTTCCAGTTGAATARTTAATCTATACAGTGCTCTAATAAACAGGAAGTGGTTTTCTTTTCCTTTATTTTAGTGTTAGCTGCTAAAAGCCYTTTTTAATATATTAATTTTCTCCATTAGGTAGGCTTTAGATTTGGGCTTTAGATATTTTTAAGTACTTGAAAGTACTTAAATGGTATTAAAATCAATGGTGTTCAGGCATACAATTATCTCCAAATAGCTAAGTCTTCAATGCWAAAATTGACTTATAGAACAATTCTTAATGAAACCAAGATTTTGTCCCTACATGTTATAATATGCTAAAGCTTGTATTCTAAGATAGTACTGAAGGATAATTTTACTTGTGTTTTTATAATAGAGTAGACAATAACTGAATTACAGTCATGGTTTTCATTCACTCCCTTAAGTTTTTACGTATTTTTGGACAAAAAATATCCATTTCAAAAAGTCTTCAGAGTCATGAAGTTCCTTGGCTAATTGAGTCCTGAACTGGGCCTGAAATTTATTTCACTCTCTAGTTAATGGCACACTTTTCTTTTTCATCATGGGACAATAAGAATTGCCCTGTTTCTCTGAAGACCACAGTTTTTCACAGCAAAATGTTCTTCATTATTTGTTTCTGTCAAAGTTAACATTGTCTTGTATGAAAAGGCTGCTGAAAATACACACATTTCTGTTGTAAAAGCTGCTGTAAATACACACAATTTCTGTTGTTGGAGTCACTTTGCTAAGGGAACAGTTTCTTCATGTGTATTGCCAGGGAAAAGAAAGTAGCAGGAAAATATCAATTAAATAGTTCAGTAACATTTTGAGGCTCTTTGTCACGCATTCTTACAGTCCTGTGAAAATTCAGTTAGAGGCTTGAATGCTCAGAAAAAAAATTCTTGGGCATTGTTTAAGCTAAAACCARCAACACAATGCTCAGGATTCTAAAATCTTTTTAGTTTGTCCTTGGATGGATGGAAATTGGATGCAACTTTCTTTTCTCTTTTACTTTTTTCTTTTTTCCTTTTTTCCCCCTTTTTAAGTGTTTTAAGTGTTTTGTTTGATGTTGGGCCACTATTTCTCTTTAAGTCCAGTTACATTGTCATCTTGCCTGTGGTTTCAGAGGCACCAGACATTAGTTTGTTTAATTTGCTTCTTCAGTCAAAAGCACCAACCTCTGCAAACCATTATAAGCATGTGATTTGCTTGAACTTTATTAGGTTTTTTCTATCCTTGAGTCATCTCTTACATTGTTTCTTTTAATTTTAAATATATATTCTTGATAATGTTTTTGTGCAGTGTCAACTTGATGTTTAAGAAGCAGCACTAATTCTATTACTGTATCAAAAATAGGGAGAAAGTTTGCTAATGATTAAGCATTGCTTTAGCTTCACAACTAAACAAGGCTACTCTTAAAATGTTTCAAGTATAGGTATTTTGATTATGTGTGCAATCAGAAATGAACTAGAAAATATTAACTGATTTGAATTAGTTGTGTTTTCAGGTGTAATATGGCCAGTGTTTTGGTATTAGATTTCTTGATTTATAAATTAACAACATTTGAAAATCTTTTTTTCTTCAGATGTCTCATGCAAATAAAAGATAGCTCAGCTATTTATAAATCTAACAGCAATCACCTGTGATCTTTTGAAAAATCTGATGGCCTCAGATATAATGCTCCCATGGCTGCAGGTTCTGGTTTCTTCTCATGTTTTATGTTTATCCAAAAAATTAGCATCTGTAATGTATATACTTCAGCTTACTCTCTTCTCGTTTTGTGGGTCTTTTTCTGCTGCATTTTCTTACAGAAAATGTAGTAAAAATATTTTTATTAACAATTATCCTTTTTGTACCTGGATGTGTTTGTCACACAGTGTTGGAAGTAGAGGTTTGTCTCATCTCCATCACAAAGARTATGTGTGTAATAAAGTGGTATGTTGTTTCAGATGTCAGCTTGAAACAAATGTAGCTTAAACTTTCCCCTAAATTGAGAARTTAGATAGTAATGCTAGTTGTTCTTTCTCAAAGTGAGTACAATTATAAGGCAATAAAAAGTGAAAAGTGACATTGATGTTTCTTCTGAAATGACTATTACTTGCTTGTGTTTGTTTTGACTTAAATTGTGCAATTTAGAATTGTTCAAGAAGGCTGCTTATTGTAAGTTACAGTTTGACAGCTTTGATTCAGAATAGCTCTGTGTCACTTACCTGTTTATGGTAAAATTCTAAATATATTTAGGGATCTTAGTCAAAATAAGAAGTTATATTACTTCTGTTTTTTTCTTTTTCCTGCGGGAAAACTGAAATTTCTAAGGTAACTTGCCTGCACTAATCTCTCAAAAACAGCTACATGCACGTTTGGAAATCAGTTTCGTTTTTTACAGATRAGGCATTACCAATTGGATTTGTTCCACAAATCTGGCAAAGACATAAAGAAAAAATGCCATACTGAGATACTTTATTTTAATTAAAAGAAACTTTAGTTTGACCTTCAAGTGTTAGAAGATATCTGAAAACTGAGTCTCTGTGAAGACAAATTYTCCTGAAAACTTATTTTCCAGATCCATGAAATTATGTTCTTCCTTATTTTTATCTGTAATATAATTTGGGGGGGCTGGTTTTGTCAGGAATATGTTAACTTTTTTTTAATATCGATGAATTAGGGCTGTTTGACATAGAAGGAAGGAAGGAAAGTGAGAGACATTGGTAAAATTTTTTAAGTCTGCAAGAACTGAGACAGAGTATCCAGATATCAAAGATACTGGTGTTTTTGCTATTTTTCATTAGTCTAATATTTTAATAGTTATTGAAAGTTTGCTTCATCCATATGCCTTTATGTTACTATTATTTAAAATGAATATGTTAGAACTCAGGTAAAAATAATAATATGAAGTTGAAATAAACCAACAAAATAAAAGTAAATAATTTTTTAAGATGAAACTTGTTTCTGTTTCTCAGGATTTTCTCTTACTTCTGCAGGTGTTTTTATGGAGGTAAGCCTTACTTAATAAGGGGTTTTCTTTGTTTTATTTATTAATATTATAAACTTTGTACAAAATTTTCATTTTGAACTTTTTCAGAAAATTTGAATAATTAGGTAAGAAGGGGTCTTTGTAGGACCAGCCTTTTGAGGAAAGAGATCTAGCTTCTAGATCATGTTTCTCAGGCCCTCTCTTGTCCAGTAGAGCTTCAAAACTCTCCAAAGATGGGAATCCCMCAATCCATCTGGGAACCTGTTCCAAGGCTTAACTACTCTCACTGTGAAGAATATTTTCCTTATACCCACTTGGAGCTTCTTCTCTTGCAACTTGTGACCACTGATTTATGTTCCACCAGTGTAAGCCTTGGGGGAGAGTTTGAGTCCAACTCTAATGATCCATTGGATAAGGTGGTAATTAGGTACATGTAAGGTTCTTCTCCAGCTTGATAGGAAACAGTTCACTTGGCTTCTTGTGTGTGATGTGCTGCAGCCTGAACTAAATTGGTTCTGTCRGAGTCACTCCAGTTTCTTTAGAGCATTTTTCATCTTCTGGGAAGCCCAAAACTGGGACTGGAGACAGAACTCAAGGAGGACAGTTTCATTTTCTTTTTTGTTTTTCTTTTTTTTTCTTTCAGATTTTAAAGG